GAATCATCCCGGATTTTATTAAATTCAAAGTATATTGCCCTATATTTGAAACCACCAGAATGTATCGCTCCTGGTGTTTTGACCTATTGGATTGGGAAATAAAGAAACTAAAGAAAAAGATTCCTGCCAGCTACAAAAAACTGGAGGATGACATCTCTCTCTTTAAATCCATTGTATCTCCCTTTGATGCAAATTGTTTACTGTCTATCATTGATAAAAATGTTAACAAGAAATTAAGCAATGTTGACTTCAGACACTGCAGAAAGTTACTAAAATTAGGCATTGATCTGAGTAAAAAGGTTGACAAAAACAAAGTCATCTTCAATTTTTCTGATAAGATATCAAATGATCAAAAAGATCTACTCTCTTTAGGTCTGGATTATTGTATGCCACCTAACACCATTAACCACACACATTTTTTTCTTTGCTTTGAAAAACTGTGTCATACCATCCGAAACTGTAAGATTTATAAAGAAAGGTGGAACCATATCACAAGTACCATCTCTATTGTGGCTAACAACACATTCAAGAAATTTAAACATTATATCAAGAACAACCATGAACATCATTCGTTCTTTACTTCACTGAAATCTTTAAAGGACGATGATAATATCATCATTACCAGACCAGATAAAAGTCGGGGAATCGTTATCCTTAACAAAGACGATTACCAAAGCAAACTACAGTCCATACTGGATGATAGCTCCAAATTTAAACGAATTAGCTGTGATACTGCTAGTTATCTTTTAAAGCTAGAAGACAAATTGAATAGGTTGTTACGCCCTATAAAAACATCTATTGGGGAAGCCACTTCTTCTGGCTCAAAACCTGGTTTCTTATATGGCTTGCCTAAAATACACAAACTTGGTCATCCCCTTCGGCCCATCATTTCAGCAGTTGGTACTTTCAACTACAACATTGCCAAATTCTTAGTGAAGATAATCTCCCCACTAACGATCAATCAGTATATGATAGACAACTCCTTTGCTTTTGTCAAAGAAATTTGCTCACTAAAACCCTTACGCCCTGTTACTATGGCCAGTTTTGACATAGAAGCACTATTTACAAATGTCCCACTAAGAGAAACAACAGAAATAATAGTTAACAAAACTACCACTTTGACTCTAAATGAGTTTGGTCTGGACAAAACAACCTATGGAAAACTTTTAGACATCGCTGCTCACCATTCAGTATTTACTTTTAATGAATCTCTTAACACTCAAGTTGATGGCGTAGCAATGGGATCACCACTTGGCCCTTGTTATGCTAATACTTTCCTTTGTTATCATGAACAAGCTTGGCTCAATAACTGCCCTTCGAGCTTCAAACCAATTTATTACCGTCGATACATGGACGACACTTTCCTGCTTTTCAATGACCCCTCTCACATTAATCCTTTTATGTCTTATCTTAATTCACAACACCCCAACATTAGATTTACCTGTGAAGCTGAACAAAACAATAAACTATCATTCTTAGACACTACCGTTACATTTCATAATGGTTGTTTTTCTGTAAACACCTATAGGAAACCAACATTCACTGGCCTCGGACTTCATTTTCTAAGCTACATACCTCGCATTTATAAGCTTAATAGCCTGAAAACACTAATTAATCGAGCTTACAACATTTGTTCCACGTGGGCCAATTTCCACACAGAAGCTATGTATTTAAAGGATTATTTTATCTCGAATGGGTACCCATCCAACCTATTTTATCGAGTCCTTAATAACTTTCTTAGCCAGAAGCTTTCACACAAACCTGTACTTACCACGGTTAACAAAGATGTCAAATACATCAAATTACCATATATGGGCAGTCTTAGTTTTGAAATCAGAAATTCGTTAAACAAGATCTTCAAACAGTGCTATCCTCAAGTTAGTTTCCGGTTTGTTTTTATAATAGCAATTCAATTGGCAATTTTTTAAAACAAAGGAAAAAGTGCAACTCTGAATTATGTTCAAATGTGGTCTACCTTTTTACTTGTCCTAGCTGTCAGGCTAGGTACGTGGGTTCAACCTCACGTTGGCTGCAACACCGCATTCTCGAACATAAAGGCAAGTCTATCAGGACTGGCCTACCACTGAGCAAACCATCTTACTCAGCAATCAGAGAGCACTCTCACCTTCACAACCACCCGTTTAACACTACTGATTTCAAAATCTTGACCTCCCACCCTAACAGATTTGACCTGATCATAGCTGAATCTCTCCACATCATTACCATGAACCCAGAACTTAATGGCACAACCACTGCAACCACCCTGTTCACCATGTAATAACCATCAATACTGTCGAATGGTTAGTTTGCCTCTTTTGCATTTTACTATTGTTATGTACCTTGTTTTTTCAAATGTTTTTGCATTATATGTTTTCTATTCTTTGTAAGCACTTTCTATAAGAAAAATACTTGTATCTGTTTTAGCACTGAGGATGGAGATTGCATCTCCGAAACGTCTGCAACAATGAAGTTTTTCTCAGCAGTATTGGTTTTCCTTTTCCTAATCAGGATAAGATTCCCAAGGAACACCTCTATAACACAATCTATACGACGACGATATGGCAAGACTACCCTGGACGTGTATAGAAGGATCGAAAAGAACTCCTTTCGCTCTAAGAAACTGGAAAAAGATGTTATATATATATATATATTATATATATTATATATATATATATATATATATATATATATATATATATATTGGTATATACATGTTATTATTTATGGAATCCGTTGGTCATGAGTGGCTTTACAATTCATGTTGCATGATATCTCTCGCACAAACACTCCATGTCAATCGAGACTATAACTTATAACTGATAATTGTCACTTTTCATGCTATGCCGTCGCACTGCAGCAGTGCTGGAGTATCCGCACTAGGGTACAAGCCTGGAAAAATTGAAAGCTGGAAAATGTACAGAGTACATAAATACATTGTAATCAAATAAATTAGACCTGAAATGTGAATATTCTATTTAAATGATATAATCAAAATACACACACAAAAAATATATATATATATATATATATATATATATATATATATATATATATATATATATATATATATATATATATATATATATATATATATATATATATATATATATATATATATATATATATATATATATATATGTAGTAAAGAATGAAAATGTTATGAAAAAATATAAGATTATAACTATGACTACTGTTGTTTGCATTTTGTGAGTTTAAATTGGACTTTCCTCGGAGACATCGAAACTCATAAAGATGATAAAACAACAACTACTTTCAAACTATATTTTACATTCATTAGATTACATTTTCATTTCCCAATTTCGCACTCCCATAGTTATGGTTTTATGTTTTTTATGTCGCAAAAGCAGCCTCATGTCTATCTTGTAATCTTAAAATCATGAGCTTCGAAAGTCATGGAACGAAGGTTGAAGACACTCCAACATTAGCAGCTGCTAGATCTTACTAGGCGAGGTCTTCAATGGCCACGGCTTTTCTTGAGGCTTTCCACAGTCCGTTTCTAAACAATTTATATTGTACCAATCATATCCGCCATATAAAATTATTATGATGTAGTGATAATAATGTCTAAGAAAGCATTCTTGTAACACATGGTAGTATTATTAGATTTTAAACTATTACTTCGTTTCATTTTACTCTCACTCCATTATTTTCATTTTGCTGGGCAACGATATGAAACAGTATCAAACAACGAATCTATGAATTATATCATGGTAAGTGTGTGCGGTTGAGCTACATTGGTAAATATAATTTCCTAAAAGGCAAAAGAAGATGGTACATGTAATGTAAGATTACAGAACAGAAATGAATGCATTTTCGATATTAAGAATGTACAAAATACTTTATAACGATATATTATAAATCATAAAATTTCTAGATGTATCTTTTCTTAGGTATCGTCCATATAACTTGGAGGAAGAAGAACATCAGCTGACCCTGAGTATCAGTGTCAATCAGCTAGTAGGATTTACCTTTGAACTGATTTTTGTCCTTGTGGTCGACGTATATAGCATGGCAAGGCGTGCGTGCGGAGGAGTTCACTTCTCTTAGGAGGGATGTTGGCTTGCCAGACCAGATATTCCTTTGTCCGTGACAAATCGCATCCAACAAGTGCCTGTTTCTGCTATCTACCAACTCTTACAAGTGAGTTCTTCCCGATGGTTTGTAAAGTTGATTTTATGTATTAAGAGATAAGAAGCGTGAAAGAATATGAGGAAAGTTATCGTTATTAGATTTATCTTTCCATCGATTTTTTTTTTTTTTTATCTGAGACAAAATGTAAAAATGTATATTACTTACCACAATTACTATTCTCACCCAGAATTGATGGTGCTTAAAGGTAATGGAAATTTTGAACCAGCATGGGAGCTGGACGAACGACGAGCCCACTTGTCTATGGATTGTCAAGAGAGCTTCAACTTCTACCTTACCCATGGTATTGAGGATGGCGACATTGTGGACGTTCGAGATACTTTGTCACCTGACGGCGGTCGTGGCTCCCCTGTTGCGAGGTCTTCTGAGACTATTGTGTTCCCTGTAGCTGAAAACCGCTCAAGTAAAGCTGGGCTCAAACAAAACAAAGATAATAGTTGCCTAGACAAATCGCTAAATCCAGAAAGTGAATCTAAATTCAAATCTCCAACACAAAGATTCCAGGTCCAAGGTGCAGATGTAACAAATGGTTTAGAAATGATAAAGAATCCTTCAAAAGAGCCACAGAAAGACGATAAGAAAGATGAGTATGAAAACATTGAAGAAATGGGAACTTCTGAAAAAATACCTGTGAATACTGAAAATACAACTATAAACACAACCAAAGAAAGCACAGCCAGTAGGGCTGATATAATGAATAACAAAAAAGAAATATTGAGTGGTGAAGTAAAAAGACTTAGTGACAAGGAAACAAAAGGTGAGAAAAATAGGAAAATAAGAACAGACCAACTCAGCGATATTACCAAGGAAAATCAAGAATCGGACGATAAACGTGTAAAGCAACCGTTTGGAGCTGGAATTAATGGGGACAACCAAGGAAGCAGAAATCCGTTAGAACGTCAGGAATGTGAACCAGAGGAAACCAATGCAGAACAACGACTGGACCTCATGACGAACCTGAAGCCTCCCAGCCAGTTTCAGGATTTGTAAAAATGCTGCAGTGGTTATTTAGGCTGTAGGTAGTTTATTGTGTTGATAGTTCACATGAAACTGATTAAAGGAAGTTTGCATATATATACATGAATTATAATTGTAAGACCCCAGAACGCAAGATATATATATATATATATATATATATATATATATATATATATATATATATATATATATATATATATATATATATATATATATATACATATATACATATATATATATATATATATATATATATATATATATATATATATATATATATATACATATATATATATATATATATATATATATATATATATACATATATATATATATATATATATATATATATATGACACACACACACACACACACACACACACACACACACACATATATATATATATATATATATATATATATATATATATATATATATATATATATATATATATATATATATATATATATATATAATATATATATATATATATATATATATATATATATATATATATATATATATATATATATATATATATATAAGTAATTTGGTTGTAGTCCATGTTTCTGCCCCATAGGTCATAACTGGGAAGATGCATTGGTTAAAGACTTTTTTCTTTAAACACAATGGCAAGGATCCTCTTAGTATGCTACTGTGTCTGGAGGCACTCCAGCCTAGGCTGATTCGTCGCTTTATTTCCTCTTCATGTTTGTCTGCTAGTTGTCTTAGATATATATACTTGATATATATACCTCTAGTGCTTCGCCTTGTACATGAATCTGTTCGGATGGGACTTTAGTCTTTTTCTTGTTCATTTTAAGTTCGACTTTTAGACTTTATTCAGATCGTTTATTAATTGCTGCATTTCATCTGTTGATTCACTAAGGAGAACAATATCGTCTGTAAATCTTAGATTTTTTAGGTATTCGTCTCCTATTTTGATACCCTTCCCTTCCATTCTAGTTTCTTGAATATTTCCTCGAGTAACAAGCTGTAAACAGTTTTGGTGAGATGGTGTCGCCCTGTCTAACGCCTTTTTTAATTGGTATTTATCAGTTTCCGTGTGGAGTTTGATGGTTGCTGTCCCATCTTTGTATATATCTTCCAATATTTTACAATATACCTCCTCTACTCCCTGTTGTCGAATAGCACCTAATACTGCTAGTATTTGTACAGAGTCAAATGCCTTTTCATAATCGCTGAATGCCATACACAGGGGTTTCCTATATTCGTTTATTTTTTCTCTTATTTGGGTGAGCGCATGAATGTGATCTGTTGTTGAGAATCCGCTGCAGAAGCCTGCCTGTTCTTTAGGCTGGTTAGAATCCAGACTGTCAGACATGCGAGCTGCATTGACTTTCGTTTTCGCTTTCGTTTAAAGTAACTGAAAGGAGGTAGTTTAAATTATTTTTTATTTTTTTTTCCGTTGAGAAGACATTTGTTAAAAAGATTGGCTAGTTTCACTGTTCCGATTTTTCTGCATCTAATATAAGTTCTATACTGATTCCGTCTTCACCTGGTATTTTCCCTCTCTTCATGCCTTTAAGTGCTCTTTTTATTTCTTTTTTGTGATATTAGGTACGTCTCTAGGTACCGCGTTTGCTTCTATCTGTGGCTGTTCATTTCAGTTGTATAGATCCCTCTAAAAGTCTTCCACTACTCTTATGATTTCATTCTTGTTATATCTTACTTCTCCGTCTGGTTTCTTAATTGCATACCTTTGATTTCTCCCTATTCCTAGTCTTTTTAACTGCTTTCATGCTGGTACCTGAAATCACTGCTTCATTTATTATTTGAGTATTGAATTTCCGTACATCTTCCCTCTTCTTTTTATTTATGGTCTTTGTTAGTTCAACTAATTCTATCTTGTCCCTGTTTGACGTTACTTTCATGCCCCTACGTTTTTGCATATGTTGTTTAGTTTCTACCGAGAGCTTGCTTGAGCTTTGCTTGTCGTTCTTGCCACCTACTTCAAGTGCAGCTTCCTTTATTATGTCATTGAACTGAATGTTAATTTGATCGATGTTGAGATCTTCGTCGCGAGACGTGAATATCTGTTTTGGATGTTTAGACTAAGTTCTGTTGCTCTAATCTTCAAGTTAGCTAAGTTTGGCTGTTTACGTATTAGTTTGTTCCATTCCCTCTGAGTTGTATTTTAATTTCGACTGTCACCATTCTATGGTCGCTGACGACATTTACTTTATTAATAACTTCTACATTTTTTATTATATCGCGCCTATTTGAAATTATGAAGTCAATTTCGTTTTTGACGTCAGATGGCGATTTTCATGTCCAGTTCCGTTCTAGTCTGTTTGCGAAGAATGTTTTCATGATATTGAGTGATCGAGCCTCCGCAAAGCCGACTAGCATTTGTCCCCTATCGTTCCTAGTGCCTATTCCAAGGTTTCCTACTGCGGTTTCTCCCTCTGTATTTTTACCTATTTTGGCATTAAAATCTCCCATATTACTGTAAAATGGGTTTTTATTCTCTCGCTGGCTAAATGAACACTGTGGCTGCAGATTGGAGCATAGACTTGAATAATCTTTAAGTTGTACCTATTGTATAATTTTATTGTTACTAAAGCCACTCTTTCGCTTACACTATAGAATTCCACGATGTTCTTTTCTAAGCGTTTGTGTATTAAGAACCCCACCCCTAATTCCTGTTTGCTACCCTGAGGTTTTCCTCTCAAATAGAGCATGTGTCCATTATTTATTATCTTCTGCTCTTCTCCTAATCTTCTAACTTCGCAGACTCCTACTACATCCCATTTAATGGAAGAGAGTTCCTCCAGTAAAGCTAGTATGATAATGATAATGATAATAAAAATAAAATGATAATTATAATGATAATTTTGATGATTATTGCAATAATAGCATTAATTGACGTTATTCTAATATCTTTCATACTACTACTACTAATAGAAAATTACATTTATAATTATGATATAATCATTATAACTACAGTAATGATGATAATAATGATAATTGTGACGAAATAATATTAATAGTTATTATCATAATAATGATAATGAAAATAATGATGAAAATTATAATAATAATAATAATAATTAAGTCCATTCATAATTTAAAAAGTGGCTAAAAGTAATAAAATCCCAAAAGTCGAAAAAAAAAGTCTAAATCTTTGAGAGAATAGTAAAAAACAACAACCTTTTCTCGATTCTAAATGATGTTTTTTGATGATTTTAACAGCAATTCCCTTAATTGTGATGATTTTAATGACAATTCCATTAATATTGACAATAATGATGATAATAATGACAATAATAATGATAATAAAAATAAAATGATAA